CAAGGACCCGAGTTCGATCCCTAGTACCAAAAAAAAAAAAAAAGAACATGGTGATGGGAATTGGTCTATCAAGATTTATTCTAAAGCTACCATAACTAAGAAAAGATGAATAAAAAATAAAAATACAGATTAAATATAGATAGGTAAAATAGTAGAGAGAAAAATAGATGCATGAAGCAGGATGGAAAGGTCAGAACATAAATAAATGGACCTCGCATAAATGGACATTTGTGATGTGAGGGAGGTGACACTACAGGGAAGGGGAGAGGGCTGAGGATGTAGCTCAGTGACGCTGCACCTGCTGGCCAGCACAAGGTCCTGAGTTCAATTCGTAGTTCCAGCAAAAAAAGGTGGTTGGGGGGGAAATACAGTCACTGCAATCAATGGTGCTTGTTTTCCATATCCTCACCAACACTTAGTATGGTGAGTCTCTTAAATTTTAGCCATACTGTGGGGTGTGTAGTGGTATCTCTATGAATTTAATTTACAGTTCCCTTGATGACTAATGATATTGAGCACATTTCCATGTGTTTATTGGCCATTTCAAATATCTCTCCTTGTGAACAGCCTGCATAACGCTCTTGCCTGTTTTGTGCTGGATTACTTAGGGAATAAAAAGTTCTTAATAATTTATAGGAATTCTTTATATATTCTGGATATGGAGCATTAGTAAGGTTTTATGTATTTTACAAACATCTTTTCCCACTATGTGGCTTGGTCTTTCATGCTTTTAGGGATGTGATTAGAAGTTCTTAATTTTTAATGTAGTCAAGTTTATCCAATTTTTCTTTTATTGGAAGTTATTTTTGTGTCTTGCAAAAAGTCTTTTCCTATCTAGGGGTCATAAAGATATTGCTTATCTTATTTTTAAGATCTTTATTATTTTACCTTTCATATTTGGTTCTACAATTCATCTGGAATTTAGTCTTGTGTGTGGTGTGAGGTGGGGATGATATTGGTTGGGCTGGAGGCATGGGAGGAGGGATGGCAGTTGCTCTCTCCAGGGCTCTGTGAGCCAGAGGTCCAGGACTGGACACCCGAGTCCCAGACTGACTGCAGAATAAGAATGGATTTCTGGAGATGAGGCTTCTACAGGGAAGTGAGAAGCATGGAGAGAAGGGGGGGAAATCAAGAAAGGAGGGGCAGCCAGGTGCTCTGACTAATTCTGGAATATTCTCAATCAAGGCACCACATTTAAAAGCCCCCTGGAAGTCTTTGCAAAGGTAGAAGATTGCTCCGGACTGGGCTCTGGGCAGAACCACTTCATCAGGGACAGCCAGTGGGAGCAGCACACAGAGCTCTTCCATGCCTCCTACAAGAAGCACCTGGACGGGGAGTGGGGTGAGGAGCCGCTCAGGTGAGCCTTGGAAGACCAGCCCATGCTCCTGGGACCCCCAGCACTTGCAGAAATCAACCCATAGGCCTGGGTCAGGCCTGGGTCTGTAAACTCTGGTTTGGGGAAATTTTCAGAGAACTTTAGCAGATTTTTTTTTTCCAGTACCGGGAATTGAACTCAGGACCTTGCACTTGCCAGGCAGGCACAGTGCCACTGAACTACATCCCCCGCCCAGATTTTTTTGAAATGTTGTGTGAAGACTGTTTAAATACAAAAGCTGAAAACATGGATTAAAAAGAAGGAATAGCTAGAGGTGCAGCTCAGTGGTAGAGCACTTGCTTAGCATGTATGAAGTCCTGGGTTTGATACCCACCACCAGAAAAGAAAAAGAATATATAACTATGGAAATGAGAAATAGAGTCTGTTTTACAGTTTTATGTATGGCATCTCTGTAAATTTTTTCCATGATTTTCTAAAAAAACAGAAGATTCTAAAAGTGGAAATAAAAGTCACCACTATTAACACTGTTTTCCATTTCCTTCCTGCCTTTCTAAATGTAATAGAGTATAGATGTATAATTATTATAATACATTACTACATTTCTTTTCAGTATTAGGATCAAACACAGGGCCTTGTGCGTGGTAGGCAAGCACTATATATCATGGAGCCACACTCCTGCCCCTTTTTATTTTATTCTGATACAGAATCGTGCTAAATTGCCCAGGCTGGCCTTGAACTTGCAATCCTCTTGCCCCATCCTCCCAACTGGGATTACAGACAAAACTTTAATGTATTATAATACATTAGTCAGCAGTTAGGCCTCAGTAACCCACACCATGATGGTAAAAACCACATCCAGTCTTGGAAGTATCTCTGGTGGAGGTGGTTTTCCAAATAAGCTCTCCTCACAGCTGCTGTGGGTCCCAGTAATGTTCTCACTATCACACAAGGAATGAAACCTCTCATCTTGCTGTCAGATGGATCTTGAACTTCCTCACTTTGGGACACAGAGTCTGAAGACCAAGTCCTAACCACAACTCCCTGTTACTGGGCTGGACGCCTACCCAGCCTCAGTGATGCACTGTAGCCTGGCCCCTTCAGCTTAGTGAGATACAGTATTTAGGGATTTTTGAAAGCCAGTCATTACAATGCTGTTAATAGTCTCTTATGGAAGTATTTGAATCATGAAAATCTGCAAGCTCTACATATCAAGTCCTTTAAGACCCAATGCATTGGACCGGTTTTCGTCACTGCACCAAAATGGTAGAGAATAGCAACTTGAAGAAGGAAAGAAGGAAAGATGCCAGGTGTGGTGGTCCACACCTCTACTCCCAGCTCTCTAGAGGCTGAGGCAGGAGGATCATCATGAGCTCAAGGCCAGCCTGGACTACATACTGAGTTCAAGGCCAGCCTGGACTGCACAGTGAGACCCTGTCTCAAAAACAAACAGAACAAAACAAAAAAAACAATAAAAAAAAGAAAGGTTCGGTTTGACCCATGGTTTCAGAAGGTTCAGTCCATGGTACACTGATTCCATTGCTGTGGTCTGAAATAAGGAAGGACATAATGGTGGAAGAGTGTGGCAAGGAAAGCTGCTGAGCTCATGACAGCTAAGAAGCAGAGAGGGATGGGGCCGGGGATTTAGCTCAGTGTTTTCACCGCCTGCTGCGCAAGCGCAAGGACCCAAGTTCGATCCCCAGTACCAAAAAAAATAAGCAGAGAGGGAAAGAGCCAGAGAGGGGAAGGGGCTGCGGACAAGATACACCTTTTAAGGGCACCCTCCCAGTGACCTTCTTCCTCCAACTGTGTCCCACCTCCTAGTAGTCCATCCTGCTGTGAACTCAGCAGATGAATCTATTGATGCAGTTAGGACCCTCATTGTCCAGTCACTTCTCTAGGTCCCATCCCCGAACACTCCTACATGAGTCTGGCAAACGCTTTCTATTTCAGCCATGACACCCAGCTTCTCAGCATACCACTGGGTATATGGCCCTTGAGATAGGGAGCATTTAGGCAGATCACCCAAGTCCACCCATTCATTCAGGGGTCTTCCCAGGATAGAGGGGCCTCTCCCTCAGGGGCCCTACTCCAGCAGAACCTCTGCCCTGTGCCACACTGGCCTAGGAGTGACTTCACAGTGCCACCCTCAATAGTATCCCAGGTCTGCATGTCCCACTAGGGCCAGCAGCTGAAAAGCTATTACCTCGAAGCCCCAGGCCTCTAGGAAGATCCACTCTAGCTGTCTGTTTCTGGTCCAGAACAGGGACCCTCCCAGTATCCCTTCTGGCCAAGGAGCCTGCATGACACTGACTGTCTATTTTTCCTTCCCAGCACCACCACATTCCACTTCCTCCTTCCAAGTTGCATCACCACGACACCAGCAGAAGCCAGGAGCCCCTCAGGTAAATGCATGTACCCAGATTGTTGTCCTGGTCAAGGAGTCACCTCAGGGAGATCCCCTAGGCTGCTCCCCTGAGAGGTGACCCAAGCCAACCCTGCTAGTGGGAGGGGACATCAGGTCAAGGAAGTGGCTTAACAGTTGCTGTTTGGATCTGGGCCTGAGCCCAAAATCTCTGATAATGAAGCCTGGCACCATCTTCCAGGAGCAGCCCTGGGGGTGCCCGGTCCCCCTTCCTGGAAGCTCACTGTCTTAATAAACAGCTTTCAACTGGGCCGGGGATTTATCTCAGTGGTGCTGCTGCCTACCTCAAAAGCATGAGGTCCTGAGTTCCATCCTCGGTCCAAAAAAACCAGCTTTCAACTTCCAGCCACTTCCTCCTTCATGTGGACTGAAGGCCACCCAGGTGAGTCACATCACACTGCTCTTCTCTTCCCCAGGGGTGGCCTTCGTCCTGGGCATACACTGGACTGGAAGCCACAACTTCTTCCTCTATTTGCTGAACCGAACTCTGAAGGACAAAGCCGGTACTTTTCCCTGAGATGGGAGCTTCCTGAGCTTGGGGCTGAGAACAGGTCCTCTTGTGATGAGATGGACATGTGTGACTGAGATGCAACAGTGTCACTTCTAGGAGCCAGAGCTGGGCAGGCAGAAGTGGGGGCTCTGCAGCTGAGCTATGGCCTGAACTAGTGTGACAGGCCAAGAGGGACAAAGCCCAGAGTCATGTCCTAGGGCCCACACAGCAGCTAAGGTGACAGGAGTGTGGGCTCCACCTACCAGGCCAGCGCCAGACCCTGCGCGTCCATCTGTGAAGTGTGTGGCCAGGCCAGTCACTCCACACTCCAGCTTGGCTTCTCGCCTGGAACACAGATCTAAGTAGTTAGGCCACACTCTCTGCTGTGAAGTGAGGAGGACAGAGTTTCCCTATGCGAAGGTCCTTTGGCATGGATGGGCACCACGAAAATGTAGGTGCTTTGCTCTCCATTCATTCACTCCACAGACACGTGCTCCCTGTGTCAAGGCCTGGAGCTGTGCACTCGAGTGCTGTACCAAAAGTCATGGTACACATTCACAAGGAATTTCCTTCCTTCCACCCTCCCTAGGCAGCCTGGCTCCAAGTCTCCACTACTCTACTGACTGGCCATGTGGCCTTGGGCAAGTGACTCCTTGTCCTGCCTCAGTCTCCCATCTGTAAAATGGGGTGCAGGGTACTAATAGGGCTTACTTCATACAACTCTTTGGTGCATTAAACTAAACGGAGCCCGCAAGGCACTTGGTGCTGTGTCTCTCTGGGAAGTGGTTTACTGGTAGCTGGGACGTTACCCGCCCCAAGGAGGGCAAGCAGCATACAGGGAGAGGAGCCAGGTGGTGAGTGTGTGCAGATGGGGCTCCTGGCACCCAGGCCCTGAACATCAGGAGGGCAGTGTGGCTGGGCTGCAGGTCATCTGGGTGCAGGCGGGCAGGGCAGGGCCTGGGGTGGCCTGGTAAGCGGTGTCCTCCCCCCAGACCCCGAGGGCGTGTGGCCCTGTGCTGCACCCATTGCAGCCTCGCGGCTCAGCTGCTCCTCTTCCTACCTCGTGCTGGCATGTGAGGACGGGGCACTTACGCTATGGGACGTGGCCGAAGGTGAGCCTCCAATACCTTCCCCAGCCCTTGCTGGGCCTCTGGCTGTGGCATGGAGCAGGAATTCCCAAGGCTCTGGGAATTCATCATGATCCTTCACCTTCCCAAAGCCCCGCCTGAGAATGCATGAGGCTTTGGGAGCCATCTAGATAGAAACCATGACAAACACTTACCAATGTAATATGTGCCGGCGCTTGTACGGACGGCCAAGTACTGGAGAGTGTGTGCCATGTTCATGGTGCTGTGCCAGGTGCTGAGTGCCACCACTGCCCTTCTGATGACACCCAGTGCTGAAGTGTCTTCCACCACAGGAGAGCCTGCCAGCTCTGCCCTCCTCCTCCAGTCCTGGGCTCTTACCATAAGCAAGTTTTCTTTCTCCATCTCCCCCTCCACTCGGTCAGTCGGTGGGCAGGAGTTCTCTGGCCCTGGAGCCGACTAATAACAGTTGGAGCAGGCAGCTCCTTGCTGGAGTCCAGCCCAGGCCTAGGTTTGCAGGTGCCAGAGTCAGTGGCATCTGCTTCCCTGAAATGAATCAGCCCGGTGGTGGGTCCCTCCCACCAGACCTACAAAGGGCCTGGTGAAGCTGTGGTTTGCCACCTCCCAAGCCCTTCACACAGCTTCGTTTCATCTTTCCAGTGCGGTAAATGTTCACCTACACACACATGCACATCCTCTGCTGAATGCACCCAGCAGCTGCACACCTTTGCAGCCCCAGCTCAGCCAGCGGTCAGCCCTGGCTAGCCCAGCCTCCCTCCTTCACCTGCTGGCCCTGAGCCCTCTGAAGGCCTAGTTCATCCCTCCGCAGCTCCTCCTCAGAGCTTGCTGGGCACTGGGATACTGGTTTCGCTGCCAGAGGCCCTGTTGGCTTGGCTCTGCCCTCCCCCTGGTCCCTCACTACTTGCTGCCCACAGAGCCAGTGCCTATAGCTGCCACCCCAAGACACCCCTTCCTGACCAGCCTGTGTGATTTCTCTCTGCAGGGTTCCCCCTAGGGGTCATCGCCCTTCCTCAAGGGTGTTTCTGCCAAAGCATTCACTTCCTAAAGTACTTCTTGGTCCACAAAGGACGGAACCTGTATCCGGAGGGTCCAGTGAAATCCCAAGTGAAATGTGTGGTGCTGTGCACCAATGCTTCCCTCCACCTGGTGACAGCCAGTGGCACACAGGGACCCACCAGCAGGGTGCTCGTGACCAGGTGGGTGGCTGGAGGGCAGATGGGGCCCATGACCTGCCAGATAGAGGACTCAGAGGACGCTATTCCACGGGAAAGACAGGCAGTCCTCCAACTAGTGGCCACTTTCCCTGTGGTCACCACTGCCCTGCTGAGTTGCTCCCATCGCCGTGTCATGTGGATGACATGTTTTTCTAAGACTGTATCATGGCATATGTGACATCTTCCATGTGCCACAGGACCAAGAAAAGACTTATGTCTGCCAGCATAACCTTTCATCAGTTTTTAATGTTTAAAAAGACTTTATGCATGCAAATGAATTATATCCTCTGTGTGTGTGTGTGTGTGTGTGTGTGTGCGCGCGTGTGTGTCAAAAGAATAATGAGATGAACTCCCCTTGCCCACTGGAAACTGATCGTCCCCAGTTCCATTGAGACTCCCTCCCTGTGTGTCCCCCAATCTCCGCCTCCTAGCTCCTCCCCATAGGGTGTTAATCATCTATTGCTGCAGAACCCAAACCCTCCCAAAACTTAGTGTCTTAAGAAAGCAGTCCTTGTGAGCCCTGACTCTACAAGTCAGCAGCTGGGCTCTCCCCTCTGCCTGCAGGGCTGGGTCAGGGGGCACCTGGGCTCTGTTCCTCTGGCCTCACCCTGGGCTTCTCACACACTAGTCTAGGTATACCCTGCAGCAAAGGAGAGGCAGCCCCCATGCACAAATGCCTTTCCAGCCTCTGCTCATGTGACTTCTGCTAATGTCCCATGGGGCAACCCACATCCCACCGCCATCCCCACATTCAAGTAGTGAGAAAATGGACTCTGCCTGTAGATGGGAGCCACTGACAAATATGGTCAATGTTTTTTTTAAATCTGTCACATCATTTTCCGAAATTCATCATCCTTTTGATTTCCTTTAAGAATTAACCACATACGGGGGCTGGGGATTTAGCTCAGTGGTTCCGCCGCCTGCCTCACAAGCTCAAGGTCCTGAGTTCGATCTCTGGTACAAAAAAAAACAGCCACAAGAATTAACCACATATGTGCAACTGCATTTCTAAACCACTTACTGTTTGGCCATGCATATTTAGGCAACTTGTAAGTGAAAACTTGTTCTTCTATATATCCACCAACTTGTTTGTCAGCTATATTTGTTATAACTTGTCTTGCAACATTGTTATAAGAGTTAGAGGTGGGCCGGGGATTTAGCTCCGTGGTTCCATTGCCTGCCTTAAAAGCAGAAGGTCCTGAGTTCAATCCCCGGTAGCCAAAAAAAAGAAGAGTTATATGTGTTGGCTACTGCAGCTCGGGTCTTTTATTTTCATTGTATCATATGCCACAACCACTTCAGCATCCTCCTGCCAGTGGATATTTGGGCAGCTGCTACTTTTTGCTACATATCTCCTGGTGCACATGCCCAGAGTTTCCCCAGGATGAGTCCCAAGAGAGGATGGTAAAATTTTGAAACTCTTAGGGGAGAGAATTGTGGGTTTTTTGTCCTGCAGACCTGTGAAGCACCTGGATGAAGCCATCTGTACAGTGGCCCCCGTCTCCACCTTGCCTGGCATGGTAGGTGCCACACACTTCACATTCCTCTTCTTCAAATGTGTTCATGTTTCCTTCAAAAAAATACTCATGTGTTGGACTAGAGATGTAGCTTAGAGGTAAAGCCCTTGCCTAGCACACACAAGTGTGGGTTTGATCCCCGGCTCTGTGAAGAAAAAAGTAATCTGTTGCCAGCCTGCTGTGTGCTGGGGATAGGAGAGGCTTTGGGGTAGCAGACAGAAAAGAAAATGCCCAGGGCTGGGGTGCAGCTCAGTGGAGGAGCCAGTGCAAGGGCCTGCATTCAATCCCTGGCACCAAAACCAAACAAATTAAAAGAAGTCCCTGTGTGCATGGAGCTCACAGTTCATTCGGAGAGACAGACCTGTCAGCAGGCAGCTGCCCTAGGACAAAGGAAAGGATTCTGCAGTGGAGGCGCAGGCCAGAGAGAGTCTCCCAACTTGACCTGGCGTGGGGAGGAAAAGTGACGGCTGAGCTTCGCCAGGGAGCCAAGGAGGAGCTCCATGAGGCAGGGGTCAGGCTGCCCAGCATCTGATCTCTGGGGCATGGAGCAGGAGGGGTGGGTGCAGGGGCACAGGGAGACCAGGTGCAGAGAGTGCATGCACCTCCCACAGCACAGCCCGGAGAGTAGAGTGATGGAGGAGGGGGCACTCGCTGACAGTGACACAGCTATGATCCCTGGGTGGCCTTGCAGAGCGCCAAGGCCTGGAGGACACCAGGGGTGGCGCCAAGAGAGCCCACGGTAAGTGTCTGCTCAGAGCTCACCAGCCAGTTAGCAAGTGAAGGGCGGCCAACGTGGGTGGCAGGAAGTCTCCTAGTCATGAGGTGAGCAGGAACATGGGCTCACGAAGTGACTGAAAGGGACCCCAAGGAGAGCCCCGACGGGGTCTTGCAAGTTGGCAAGGAGGCAAGCAGGTTCCATGTGGAAGAGAACCACACGCCTCCTAGTGGCATCAAGTGTCCCAGGAGGGGACAGGTGACAGGAGGTGGGAGTGGAGAGGGTGACAAGACCTGCTGCGTGAGGGACCGGTAGTGCTGTGCAGCAGGAGGGTCTCAGGATCATGGAGAAGACAGAGCCCGGGCAGGAGGGGCCACCTCAAACCTCGGTGGGGGACATGGGATGAGGGATGTCAGGAGCCCAGGAGCTGGGCACAGGAGGCTGCAAGACCTGTGGGGAGAAGCCAGCCCTGCATCAGGCAGGTGGGCCAGCACACACCCATGCCCCCCTGTGCCCGTGTGTTTTGTCTAGCTGCTTCTGTCACTCCCGCTGGGGTGGCATCTATGCTCTGCCATCCGTGGGGGACCAAGACCAGTAGGGTCCCCACTTGCCGCCTCTGTGTGTCCCAGGTGCTGATCTTTGCCAGGAACGGCTCTGTGAACCTCATGGACGTGGCCAAGGCTGAAGCCATCTGTGCCTTCGCTCCCCCCAGAGCCCCCCACCTGGCGGTCCCCTGGAAGCCGCTGTTTGTTGTATCTTTACACCACCCTTGCTTCCTGCTCTATGGTAAGGAAGGGGAATGTGACCTACCCAGACTGAGGGCCTGCTGACTGGCCAGCCCTCTGTGGAGCACAGTGACCCGACCGGCCCCCTCCCTAGCATGTCCTCTCCCCCACAGGCCAGAGGATGCCAAAGCCCAGTCCTCACAGGGGTCTCTGATCAAGGGCTGGCAAGGTCTTCCTGGAGTCCCCTCCACTGGGCCAAGCGGGCCCTGCCCACCTCAACCCGTGTCCCAGCCACCCAGACCACAGTTGCTCAGAGCACGGAGCTTTTGTTCCTCACAGGCGACCCTCCAGGTGAAGAGCCCACCAGTGATGCCAAGGACACCCGGAATTCTGTTTTCTGTTTTAATTTTGAGGCCTACCCACTTCTGGAAAATGTTTCCCAAAATCATACCATTCCCCAAGAGGACTCAACAGAGAACATGGTGTTGCCACTGGAGAAAAGATGCGAACTTATGCTCCGGAAGAGGTAAGGATTTCAACCTCTAACTCCTCCCAGGACTCAGGTTGTGTCTGGGGTGGAGACAGGAGTTTGCTTTGTCGTAAGGTCCCTTGGGCATTTCACCTACCCGCTATGTTTTCTACCTCCATTTCCCATACAGACGGGCAGGAAAGGAGTCATTCAGGCTGGCAGGAAAGGAAGGCTTCAGCTGAATGTCTTCTCCTTGCAACCATATTTTCTCTTTTATTTTCTTGATTCATTTTTTCAAAAGGATATTTAGATTCGTAGGCAGGGGTTAGGACAGGGGTTGGCAAACTGTGATCGTATTTGACCCACTGCCCAGTTTTGAAAATGAGATTGTTTTGGTTTGGTTTTGGTGCTGGGGATTGAAACCACAACCTTGCACATGCGAGGCAAGTTGCTGAGCCACCAGGGCAGACCCCAGCCCCTTGTAAATAAAGTTTTATTCAAACATAATCCTGCCCCTTTGTTCACTGTCATTATGGCTGCTATATGCTACAACAGCAGAGATGAAGAGTGGCAACAAAGACCACATGACCTGTACAGCTGACTTATTCATTCTCTGGCCTTCTATCAAAAAGTTTGCCACTGCTGGTCTGAGACACTTTCCTTTACCCATCACCTAGACCAGTGATGGCAAACCTATGGCACGCATGCCACAGCGGGCTGTTTGTATCATTGGAAGCTCTAAAATGTTCACCACCACTGACCTCGACAATGGTCATGCATAGACAGACATCTCCTCTCCCTGCTCCCCCTTACCCCCAAAGCTTGCTTGCTTTCTGTCCCCCTGCCAGGCCAGTACAATGATCTGGCCTCAGTCATCTTGGAGCAGCCAGGTTTCTCCTAATCCATCTCACAATGAGCTGCTGGGGATTTGCATGATAACACACAGAAAGTGGCAGGCACAGGGTGGTTTCTTTTTTCTTTTTCTTTTTTTCCCCAGTACCTGGGATCGAACTCAGGACCTTGCACTTGCAAGGCAGGTGCAGTGCCACTGAGCTAAATCCCCAGTTTCTTAATAAATGGTGGATAGGGCAAAGATCCCTCCTTGTTAATCCAAAATGCCTGGGGGAGCCCGATGTGGAGGCGCACGGAGGGTCATCACGAGTTCGAGGCCAGCCTGGACTGCATAGTGAGGGCAAGGCCAGCCTAGACTACACAGGGAGACCCTGCCTCAAAAACAAAATACCTGGGGGAATTCTAGATATCACCACTAGGTGGCAGCACAGATCATCTTTGCTTTGCAGCTCAGCATTTAACCTGTCTCCTCTCCCTTCCGCTTCTCTCCTCCCCTCCCCTCCTCTCCTTTCCTTTCCTTTGGAGGGGAAGGGTACTGGGGATGGAACCCAGGCCTTGAGCAAGCTAAGCAAGCGCTCTGCCACCGAGCTGCACCCCCCGCCCTCCGAGCTGCTACAGTTATGCCCTTCCTACGTGGTGCCAGGCTGCCGGGAGGAAGCTGGCTCGTTCCTCGGGAGAGAAGTCTGTCTCCTGAGTCCTGGGGGGCGGCAGAGAGAAGTCGGAGAAGGAGACCGCCCCCTAGTAAAGATTTTCGGACAAGCCTGGGCTATTCTTCACGTGGGGGCTTTCTATTCTAGCCCTTGATGACTTCCTCTTAGACACAGCTGAAGAATTTAGGAGAAAGTATCATAATGTCTACAACTTCTTTCTTTCTTTTTTTAATTAGGACAACCTTTTGTTCCCAAATTTACAACTTCTTTTCAAGTGGCCTGGGAAAATATTTATAGACACAGTTAAAATTTAACAGATGGTGAAATCTAGGAAAATATTTATGGGGAGAGAGATAAAACATTAACAACTGGTGAATCTAGGTGAAGGTTCATTTCTGTAGGTTTGAAAATTTTCAAAATAATGCCAGGTGTGGTGGCCCACACCTGTAATCCCAGCACTCAAGAGGCTGAGGCAGGAGAATTGCTGTGAATCCAAGGCCAGCCTGAATTACATAGCGAGACTCTGTCTCAACAAACCTATTTTATTTAAAATAAAAATAAAAAGATGAAAGTTTATCAAATATTATTTACAATATAATCCTGATTTTGAGTTAAAAGAGAAGATGGGAAATGTGTACAACAATGGGAATGTTGGTTAGTTTGGGTGATGGAAGTATGTGTGGTGGTTTTTCCTTGTGTTTTCTCTATATGCAACTTTTCTACCAAAAATATGCATTTTTCTGGAGAATAGATTTAAAATAATGTGAAAAATAAGTCAAGGGCCTGAGGTTCGCCATGCTCCGGGAAGACCTCTCTGGACCAGGACCATGGCCTGGGATTTCCCGGGGCCCTCACTGGGGCCTGAGAACTGCTGGTCAGGTGAGCTGGTTTCCATTTCTTCTATTCTGGTCCAAGCCCCTCCTTTTCCTGGCCTAGACTGACATTTGTCCCCCTCAGCAGAGTGGACCTGCTCAGCCCGATCTCAGCCCATGGAAAAGGTCTCCAGGGTAGAGCTACTACCTTAACAGAAGAGTGAAAATGCTGTATGCATAATTTCTGTTATCAGATACAAATACTTGCAGAAATTTGGGAAACAGGAAAATGCAAAGAGGAAACTTAAATAGCCCATAATCCTACCATTAGAAACCACCAGCAATCTGACTTTATGTCACTCCAGGATATAATTTAATGACTTTTTAATTTTGAGAAAAACATTTTTGTTGTTCGTCAGCTTCATGTCCCTCTAAGGAAAAACGAGATAATAAATGTATAAACTGAAAGGTTAGCTGGAGATTTCCGCCCGGGGTTGGTAGGACCATTGCTTTGGGCCGGTAGGAGGAGCACATTGGGACAGGATCACGTAACATCTCGAGACCGCTTCCCAGATGACCTGGAAGCAAAAAGAGGACGAGAAAGGGGCCAGGCATGACCTCAGGACCTCCCTCCCAGCCTTGCCTCATAAAAGTTCCCACACACAAAAAAAAGTTCCCACCAACTCTCCAGAGCAGGCTGAAGACCAAACTTTAACACATGGGCTTTCGGGGAACATTCAGCATCCAAACTGCAGCATTTGTAAATATAGGTTTTGATTTTTGTTTTTGGTGGTACTGGGGATTGAACCCAGGACTTCCAAATTCAGCTACATCCCCAGTCTCTCCCACCTTTTTTTTTCTTTTTCTTTTGAGACATGGTCTCCCTGAGTTGCCCGGGCTGGGCTCAAACTTGCAATCCTCGCATCTCAGCCTCCCAGTTGCTGGGACTCGGGTGCGCCACTGTGCTCAGGGACAGCGCAGTATTCTACATCGTATGTAACCGGCGTCACTCCTCTGGTTGGACTGCTCGGATAAGGAGGCCATGCTTTCTTCTCTGACCCCCACTCTGAAACACTGAGGCCCATCCTGGCCCCCCACAGGGAATAGAAGGGACTCTTCTACCTCCTCAACCCCACAGCTCAGGGCCCAGGCCGCTGCCACCCCTCCCCGGAAGGGTCCCTGTAGGTGGTGGGGGCACAGCGCCACCTCCAGGAAGCTTCTGCAGGGAAGGGGGGGGGGGGAGCCGGGCGCCGGCGCTAGGGCAGGCTTGGCGCCCGTGGCACACAGGAAAGCTGAGGGCTGGTGGGGACCTGCCTGTGGCGGGGGACAGGCCCAGCCTGCTGCTGACCTCAGGGATCCCATTTCCTTGGTCCTGAGCACAGTGTTTGAATCATGCTTTCTGGTTTGGGCCCTAGAAATAAATCAGGAAATAATAGATTCAAAGAAGGCTGCTCTTGTCCTGCTTGCTCTGAGGCCCGGTGTCCAGGGCTTTCCCACATATTCCCAACTTGCCATCGTAGACGGGTCCCACCAGCCAGCAGCTCTGAGAACCACTGCAGCGTGCACACAAACGGCAGCATTAATATTTGACTCCCCCCGCCCCATACCAGTCCAAAGGCATTAGTTCCCGGCTCTTACATGTATTTATTTTTTCCTGTTCACTCCTTGTGTCTGAAATACTTTCCAGTGGCCCTGAAACTAGGTAGAACTGTAAGGGTTCATGTGGTGACAGAGTCAAAGTTCCAAACTTGCCATAGTCCGTCCACACTGCTTTCACAAATCAGCACTGGAACTTCCCATCGAAAGCGGAACAGCCCATGGGAAGCGGCCCAGAAGGCAGATCCGGGGTGACCCAACAGTCCCTGTCCACACAGCACACGGCTCCCTTGTCCAGGGCAGCAAGCTGTGTGTGGCTGCAGGTGACATCTTCATCGAGGTGGGGGAGGAGCGGTAGGTATTTGGACCCCTTCCGGACCACCCCTCGGTGCCTGTCCTAACTTTCCTTTGCTGTTCCTGAGAAACAAGGGACGGACGAGCCTCTCCCAAAGTGACTTGCAGGTGGCAGACCTCACGCGAGCTTCGCGGGGACTTGCAGATGCGCCCTCTCCCTTCTCACTGGTCCTGGGCCGCTGTCTCTCTGGCATACACGCGCACCCGCACTTTGCGCCATTGCCGCAGCGCACTAGAAAGCACTCGAAGGGTGCCCCAACCCAAGGCCTCCCACAGCGTACCCCTTCCCACACTGGCTGTGGAAGCAGGGACAAAAAATTAATAGCTCCGTGTTAGTATAACTTGGGGATGAAGGATTAAAATCAACCTTTCGGGTATGCATCCAGTATGGTAAATCTCTCCTCTTCTGCGGCTGGCCCTGGGTTCTCTCTTCTGCGGAGGTCCTCCTTTTCTAAGACTTCTTTGTCAATACTGTCGCGAGTAATTTTTCCAGTTAGGCTTTGGATTGAAGTCATTCTGATTGCTTGTTTAGCCAAACACAAGTGCCAAGCGTCTCGTAGTTGGAACTGAGCGGCGGCTTGGCTGAGAGCCGCCGCCTTACACAGCGTCAGAACCCGGGCGCAGCGAGCTCTGGAAACCGCCGTGGGTTGGTGGAGAGAGGGCCTGACTCTGGTGCCCTCTAGCGGGTGCCTGGGGCATAGTCCACTGACCTTTGAACACTGGACCTTGCCGGGCACTCTGTAAACGCCAGCGACTATTTATTGCTAGAGCCACAGAAAAAGCCCTCCTGCCCTCCAGCGTCACGCTTCAGAAATCACCCTTATCCTCCATGAGCTGTTCATGGTCGCCTTTTTAGTCTCTAGTTCCGATGCCGTGTTGTGCTGACCTCTCAACCCAGCAATTTCACTTCCATTTATCACCAGCAGTGTTCATACTATTATAACTGGTTAAGCGTTATTGTGCACTTACTATGCACCAGGTGCCATGCTAAGTGCTTTGCAGGATGATGATGAGGACTGAACAAGATCCAGATTTACCTTGAACTTACTGTGTAGCCCAGACTGACCTGGAGCTCACCATCCTCCTGCCTCAGCCTCCCAAATGCTGGGATTATAGGCGTGCAGCACCTTTATCATTGGCGGTGGCGGCAGCGGCGGCAGCAGCAGCAGCAGCACTACACAGTGAGAAAGCTGAGGCTCACAGGGGTCTGATTGCCCCTCCCAGGATGGCAGCTTATGTGGGAAGGAGCAGGGTTTGAACTGCAGCACGCTGCCGTCTAGCCTGCCCGCCAGCCCATGCAGACAAGACGCTCACACGCCAGGGAGTGCACTGCAGCCTGACGACCCAGCACAGTCCTGGAACCCCGTGTGTCAGAAATAGTGAGCGCTGCCCACGGGTGGCTGGGGGGTAGATTCTAAGTGAAAAAAGCAGGGTGCACAGCAATGTGTTGCACACTTCCATGTACCTTTTTTACATTGTGCTTGAGTGGAAAAATGTTAAAGGATACGAAAGCAGCTGTTGGTTATGGTTGTTTTGGGAACAGAAAATGAGGATGTGAGATTAGAAACTTTGATTCTCATTGTAGGCCTACAATGAGTATTTTTTAGGAAACAATGTATATTTTTAAAGAAACAATGTATGGATTACTTTTTTATTTTTTTGCAGTATTAGGGATTGAACCCCAGTCTTCACACAGAACTGTATCTCCAGCCTGTCTCTCTCTCTCTCTCTCTCTCTCTCTCTCTCTCTCTCTCTCTCTCTCTCTCTCTCTCTCTCTCTCTCTCTCTCCTTTCTAGACAGGGTCTCAGTAAGTCACTGAGTTGCCCAGCTGAGCAGGAACTTGCGATCCTCCTGTCTCAGCTTCCTAGAGTGCACCACCATGCCCAGTCTGTTGATTTTTTGTCTTTTCTTTCTTTTTTTGGGGGGGGGGAGGATTTTGAGACCAGATCTCACTATGTAGTCCAGGTTGGCCTCAAATACACAGTGATCTTTGTGCCTCAGCCTCTCAAGTGCTGAGATCACAGGTGTGCACCAGCAAACCCAGCATAGATTGCTTTCTAAGTTAGAATTTTCTTGTGTCCACGTAGATGACTCACATGCAGTGTCTCAAAAAACAAACCCAAAGCTACAATCCTTGTCTTTCTCCGCAAAGCATCCCTTTTGCTATTTGCCCTGACAGCACTCCATTGCCCAGGGTGGAAACCTGGACAGTAGTGCACCCCCAGCCCTACCCTCAGCTCCCCTGGAACCCCAGACCCAGCTGAAGTTGCCAATCTGCATGCACAGTGAGACATAGTCTTGGCTTGTTCTGGGCCAAACATGTTTTTATTTGATATCTTTAAGCTCTGATTTGTAGAAGACTGAACCCAAACATTTCAGATAAGTGGCCTGTGGCCCTTGTCCCTTGTGACTGGATTCACTCAGGCAGCATCAGGTCCTCAGGATCCGTCCTGTGCTAGCATGAGTCAGAATCTCCTTCCTTTTGAAGGCTGAGTAATAGTCTATCACGTGTGCAGACCTGCTTTTGTTTGCAAATGGGCCTTTCTTCTTCAGTCCCCAACCTGCCTATCCACAAGTACCTCCTAGTCTCCAACCCTGGCCTGTTGTTCCCTCAGCAAAGGCTGACTGGGTGCCACTGTACCTGGCTGGGCCCGCCCTGAGGACCCTGAGATGAAGCAGTTGTCACCTTCAGAGTTTCTCTCTTAGCACAGGACGGCCCTGGTCTGCACTAGGCTGGGGAACAGGAGGTAGGGAAGCGCCTCTCACCTCTGGTTCTATGGCCCTCAGCTTCCAGAAGCTAAAGAGACCTCAAGTGATGAACAACCATGAGTGGACCCGGCTTCGAAGGTACTCTGTGCTGCTCCAAAGAGAGAATTTCCAGAAGTGACAGCCACACAGCCACCTGGGGATTCTGAAGAGGCTTCTATCTGGGCAGCCACTCCCAGAATGGAGGACACAGCAACAAACCGCCCAGCCCAAAGGGCCTGGACTTGCAGGCCACAGAGCCAGCAAGGAGAACGGTACCTTGGGGACCATAACACTAAGCCTCTTGTCAGTGCCCTGGGTGGGCCCATGTGTCGCCTGGATAAACAGCAGTTTGTTTCCACACTCCCAAGTTGCCATGGTGTGGCCCCATCCTTTCCACAAGCCCAGGCCCAGCAGGGCCCAGCTGTGGCTCTCCAGGCCCAGGAGGACCAAGCACCTCAGAGGCCGGGACAGTACTTTAGGCAAACCAGCCAGACCCCTTCCTCTCCTTTCCTTCTACTTCTGCCTCACCTTGCTGGTTCCTGTCCCTTACTGACCACCTCCAAGGGCTGGGGGTGTGGCTCTGGGCAGAGTGAGCCGAGCATGCAAGAGGTCCTGGGTTCCATCCCCTGTACCCCAAAGGAAGAAAGAAAAAAGAGAATTGCTTTGAAAGGAGGACGTTCCTGGTGGGATGACACCTGGAAGCTGTGGCTGATAGAACTTGGACCGCTGCTGACATTGCCTGCTAGCCCAGGACCCTAGAGGAGACTGGGGGTCCTGGAGACCCTTGATCTCTAGAAACTGCCCCTACCAGGGAAGCTGGGTGTGGCACCACATGCTTGTAATCCCAGCACTCAGGAGGCTGAGGCAGGAGGATTGCTGCTAGTTGGAGGCCAGCCTGGGCTGCACAGCAAGCTCAAGGCTGTAGTTCTGGACTACATAGTGAGACTCTGTCTCAGAAAGAAAAAAAAAGCCAGAAAACCAGGCAACTGGGCCAATGAGCCCCCAGCCGCTGAAGGGCAGACCCACCTCTTTGAGGACACCACGTGGTTCCCTTGAGAACTGCCTTTGGCGGTGTCTCAACTCCTGACCTTCCCGATGCTAAACTCTCTGACTGGTGGTGACAGCTGCTTCCTCTGTGCCCATCCTCCTCCCACCCTGGTCGCACACCATGCCCCTCGCTGGCCCGACACCTCCCTTCAGGTGCCAATACTGTCCGGCTGAATGTCCCTGGATGAAAAGGTCCCTACCTGAGACCCTTTCCCCTTGGTGCTATAGGATGTGGAAACAGGGCCAACACAGCCCTTTTGCAAGATGAGGTAGGAGCGCTTAGGAAGGTGGCCTTGGCTTCACACAGTGGCCAAAGGCCACGGGAACCAACATTCACGTAGTGTGTATATTTCACGTCCAGGCTGTGTGCAGTGGAGATGTTCTCATTATCACTGTTTTACAGAGAGGAAATGGATACACAGCAGCAGGGCCAGAATCCCAGCTCCACTGCCCCAAAACGGACTGGCCCCCAGAGATTACCCAGCACCCTCCCAGGAGGGACTCGGGCTGAGGCTGTGTCCAGATGTGGGGATCGAATCCAGAGTCCCCCTCATCTCTCAGCTCTGTCACCAGGACCCTGTGACCTCCTGGTGCCACAGAGCTCACAGCCCCCTCTCAGCGGCCCGGCAGTCACCTTCCTGAGCCCTTGCTGTGCAGGTGGTGCAGGCCTATGGCTCGAGTCCATCCCTGGTGGGGGAGGCGGTGTCGTGTCACCAAACTGAGAGCGACAGGAGAACTGTCTGAGGAAAGGGCCATGCAGGGTGGCAGGACCACTGAGCTGCAGCCACAGTGAAGGTCTCTCCCAAGACTGAGCTAGGCTGAGGATGCAGCTCTGCCCTGTCCAAGGTTGCGATCATTCCCCAGCGTGTGGGAGCCCCAAGGGGACTGAGGCATTCCCAAGGAGCCTTGTGTGCCGGATCCAGGGAAGGTTGAGAGAAGGACCCAGGGCCTGGCAAAGCCGGCTGTAGGCTGGGGATCCCCAGGGAGGAGGCAGTGGCCAGGGCTGTATGATCCTTGGGGCCACTGTACCCCCAAGCTGAGGAGGCTGTGCCCCCCTGGGTGACCGGAACCCATGCCCCCTGGGTGCCCCTTGGGAACACCAGGAACTTTACGCCCCACCCCAGTGCCAGCCTGCTCCAGGGATGTTGCCATCTGCCGATGTGGACACCACCTCTCTTGCTTTGTCCCTGCATTCAGATGGGGACCTCTGTGCCTATTCAAGGCCATGTCCTTGAATAATCTGCTTGAACATTCAGCAGCCAACTTGGTGGACCCCTCTTAACATCTACACAGCACACGGCTTCCCTGCTGCTGGCCAGAGTCTTAGGGACCAGGTCACACGTTCCCGCATGCACACGTGCACACACTTGCCTGCTGGGCCATTCCAGAAAAGGGACTTATGGATCACCCATCTAATTGCCCCGACACCAATGGCAACAAACTACCTCCGTAAAACAGCTGGCCACCTCTCCATGCTTCCAGTCCTGGATCTGTAGACAGGTACAAGGACTGCAGCTGCCAGACTTGACAGCAGGCAGCTGGTTTAGCAGCCAGAGCATACAGCCAGCCCAGGGCTGCTGCTCCTCCACTGTGGTGGTCTCCGTGGACCAGCTCAGACTGGGAAAGCAGGCAGCTGTGGGCCAGCAGTGACAGAGAGCTGGGTGATCTTGGCCGGGCACCTTGCCCTGTGCCCACACAATCACTGTTGTGCCCTCCTTCCAGCTCCAGACAGGGCATCCTGCCCTGTGCTGCCCAGAACCCTCTGCTCTTGACCCAGCCCATATTCAGCTGAGGCAGTGTACTCGGAGTGAAGCACGCAGCTCTGGGGTCAACTCATTCCAACCCC